TTCATTGATCAGTGAGATAAAACAGGACAACTCTTGTATTGGAAAGTTGATTGCGGTAATGAGGAACATTACTATGCCTCTCGGCATGCAGAAGCAAGCAACTGAACAAATGCTGCCTTCTTCTGAGATTATCAAATCTACCTTTTCATCTCCTTCTCATGCTGTTATGGCGCCGTTTGTATCCGTGTTTACAGAAAGAGGTGAGAAACAGGCTTTAGCAATAGCAAAAAGGGAATGGAGAGATTTCTCTTTCTGTTCTACCAGATCTACTAGGAACACAAAATATCTTGTGTGATTTTATCAATCATTGGAAAAGGGTCTATAAAAATCCCAGAAACTACAGAGTCATAGATTACAACATCAGAAGAATTCATTATAACTACTTAGCTTGATATCCTGCTTAACACATGCCATCAGGCTTCTCTGAAATCTGGCCTGTTTCAATGGCATCACATCTTTTAGAGAAACATATAAAAAGCTAATTTTAAAATTTCCATTGATGGAGAAACTATCACAATTGTTGCAAAGGTTAATCCACAATAAAAACAAAACAAACCTCTCCAAACTAAATATAAAGTGAAAACAAATTCTTATCCAGCCAAATATAAAAAACATTGAGGAAAGCAGGCATGGCAAACAATAATACTGAGTTTTGCAACAGTAGAAGAATGAAATGGTCTGGCTATTTAAACAGTTTAATAGGAAATTGGTAATAGATAAAAGTATTGCTTGATTCTTTCCTAGGAAGCCACTAAAAACAAAGAGTTTTGGTTAGTTTCTTTTTTTTAAATGAACAAACAAAACTCAAGTTCAAATAGTCATTATACTAAATTAGCCATAAGTTAGGATGATCTAGCTTCACTTACAGGAAGTTTATTCCTGCATATTTTAAAATTGTTTAAAGGATTGCAATTCCTTTAAAAGATTAATAACTAGGCTATAGAAATAAACTTCTAAATGTGATATAAACCACCCTGTGACCTGTACCATGTCACGAGTGCAAAGCAAGAGTAGAGAGGACATTTAAAAGGAGGCTTTAATTTTTTTTTTCTATAATATATTCATAAAGCAGAGAATCTCTCCAACTGCAGGTTCAGACTCTTTCCTGGTCCTGCTAAGCTACTGGAGAGGAAGCCAATGCACCGTGCAAGGGGAAGGGGATGCTGCGGTCTCCTCAGGGACTCTCTCATTTGACTCCAGGCCAAAGATTCCTGGATTCTTCTCCAGAGTGGTGAGGGGACTACCCAGGTGCCCGCAGCCAGCACGTGAGCTGGAGGACCTCCTTGGACAAGGCATGAGCCTTGAAGAGTAACCACATGGACAAGCAGTTCCTCCCAGGAAAACATCACTTCTAGGCCCTGCAGTCCTATAAAATGGTGGATAGGTGGAAGGGGAAGCATCCAGGCATGCTAAGTTCAAAATATTTGACTACTGAGAATTTCCACCTTATCCCTTGGCACTGATACAGGAAGAAATGCATATGCAGAGACAACAGCCTGCAAGTGCTTCACAGCTACCTCTCTACCAGTGACTGGCATAGTCCATGGGACTAACCAGGAAGATTTGAACCCTCTGAACTCTTTTCTAAAATGTCTGCTTTTAAGGAGATGTCACATTTGCGATGTAACAAAATGCAATGAATTGGTTTGATATACAATTAATCTAATGAAAAATTTGTTTTATGAATAAACTATTGCTAGTTTTCTATGAATTTTAGGCCTTTTCAAGAAACTAGGCCATGAGTCCTGCCCTGTGCTGGCTGCATCTCCCTGAGCAGCAGCAATGGGACAAAAACGTCTTCTTCCCCCGAGTGATGCTGGACTAGCAGGACCTTACATGACCACTGTAACGGCAACAGAAGAACAGGAGCACAGCACAGGCTGTGAAGTCAAGACCCTGTAGAATGAAGCCACTTTTGTGTTACCCAGCAATGCCACGGAAGCTTCTGTCTTGTTCCTGGCTCCCATTGGGGAAGCCATAAGAACAGGGTACCCTTGTGCTCTGGATGCACAAGCTGCTGGTGCCAGGGGAGTCTGAGCCCAGAGCAGAGGCACCATTAGAAACTTCCAGGATTTGGCAGCAAGGGGGGTGATTTTCAGAGAATGGTTCTGGCAATTTCTGTTCTTTTTTTGGATCCTGTCCTTATATAAACTTGCTGTCAACACTTTGAAACATCAGTAGAGTTTTCTAACTTTTCTAGAGTAGGTAGTTTCATTAATGGAAGTATCTCCTTATGCTGAAATTTGCTAGCTCCCAACCTAGTCCCACCTTCATCTGCCTTCCTCCCATGCAAAAACTAAGCACAGGGCATGTCTGTTCTTTGTCTTCCACTCAGAAGAGAAGCCGGAGGTAGCTCTCCTATGGATCCGCTCCCATCTACCTTTAGGGTGAGCTTCCCAGTTTAATTTGCCTCACCGAAACCTTGAAAGCCACTACTTGGAAGTCTCCTAATACTTAGTGAAACAAGGACTGCCCTCAGACCACCTCCAAACCCCATCCCACAGCCTGCCTCAAGAGCATTGGGATGGAACAAAAAGCCAATACGAGCAGGGCCTCTTGCAGGACCCACACACAGCTGTGGCAAAGCTGCTCTGCATCATCCCCCTGGCTATTACGAAACAGGCTCAGCTCTGCAACCTGTCTGTGAAGGCATTAATAAAGTGTGTAACTGCTTTTTATTATTTTCTGTGGCTTTGTTGAGGGTGAGTACGTCTTTGACATCCAGCACTTTGAGCACGGTGTGCGGCACAGCTAATTGCCACTGCTGACTAGTCTGAGTCATTCTCTCAATTCTCTTTCATGGACCTGGTCAAGGTCTGTGAAACTAGACAGGTTACTGACTACCTCTTTTGGTTTTCTCATGACACAAAGTCTGCTAAGTTGACAAGGCGACATCACTTCATCCTGTGTGTGCTGGCCACTGTGCCACATGTCCTGGTCAGTGGATGGACTAGAGACAGGTTGGTGCAGAAGTTGGTGCTGAAGGTCAGGCTAATTACAAAGTATTATTAATTAGCTCAGTTGCTAAACAGAGAAAGCCCAAGCAAACCTCTCAGCAAATTGTCACCAGTTGGAAGCTTTTAAGAGGCTGATCTAGAAAAAGAAGCTGGTTATATGAAGTCTGTTAAGTCCAAAAAACACTGTACTTGTTACATGCTCCCCCTTGGGTCCAAATTTTCTTCAAGGCTCTGAAATAGCTCTGCAGTTCTGTCCCAGTCTAAGAGCAAGAATCTGTTTACCAGGATGATCCAGAAACCAGACAGAGTGAGATGAAAATCCCTGATGATGATCCCCATTCATTACAGGTCTGCCCATAACAGGCCTAAATCCCTGTGTGTTCTCACCACAAAAAAAAAGAAAAAAAAAAAAACACAGTTTCTTTCATTCTAAAGCAATTCACCTTTGCATGACCACCTCCTGCCTCAGATCCTGCCCTGGGCAAGGGGAAGCTTGAATCTATCCTCAGAGAGCATGAAGGCAGAGCCTGGCGTTATCACCGTGGAGGCTGGCAGCTTGAACACAGGTTTTTGCAGCACTGGGCTTGCAGATATTTTGACTCCATCTCACCCAAAGAATCTCACCCTTCCTTGCAGTAACAGCAGGACAACTCAAGGAATGCTCTCTGATGCATATCCATAGACTTAAGAAAAGGAGAGCTGATATAAAGCTTTTCCTCTTTCATAACTTTTACTACATTGCAAGAGTTCCCAATAGGGTCACTATGAATTAGTGCTGTGCTAATAGTAAAAAAAAAAAAAAAAAAGAGTTCTGGTTTTGTTAAAGGGTGACAAAATTATTTTCAGTGCAAGATTTTGTTCCCTATTTTATGGGGAAAAGTTGCTTTTAAAAACCAGGATCTAATATTTAACTGCACTGTGGGCTGACAGATTCCACCCCGGCACTTTGAGAGGTTAGCGAGAGACATTTAAACTGTCACAGAGGATTATTTTGCAATGTACTTCCCAGCCTACACTTAACAGTTATAGATACCTTTGCCACATCTCAAGCGTGGCAAGAGCCCACACAGCAGTGACACGCTGCAGATTTAACGGCAGAGGCGGCAGCCTTCCCACCACCACCACGCGCTCAAAACGTGCTCGGCCTCCCAGGATGTGGGAGCTACAGCTGCTTCCACCCTTGCACAGCCATACTTCATTCACACTGTTTTTTCCCTGCGCTGTAAACTCTGCTCCAAGGCCAAGGGCCACCTTCTTCCTTCACAACATGTATGCCCTGTTTTCCTACTTTCCTCTTTTTGTTAATCTTTCAGAATATTTTCTCATTGTTTTCTGCTCTACCTAACTCAAAGAACATCATAATTTCCTTATCATAATGGATTTTCCTTATGATTTTCCTTTTCCTTATGATTTTCTTTCTTTTCCACACTTTAAAATGTGTGTCCTCTCCTTCCTGCTCCAGCAGTAACCCACCTGCACTAGGCAGGGTCCCACCTGGAACAGGGAGAACATTACACACCACGGTTGCCACTTGTGGCCCTAACGCTGCCCTACAGCGCACATGTTTGCTCTTCCTGTTATTCTCGCTGGCAACAAGCAATCATTTCTGCTCCAGGCCAAGAGGCCTGAAGCTTGCAAGGAGAAGAGATACGAAGGCAAAGAGCAGATGAGACCATGTCTTTGCCAATGTGTTTCTGAAGGTCTGCACATGGGGGCAAGACCCCAAGGCTATGGTGTTTTGCCCTGCTTGCAGTTTCCAGCCCTTTCTACAGGAGGAAGGGGCTTTTCCGCATAAAGCATCATCATATTTGGGCTTGCTTCCAGCACGGCCTTAGCCCCTTTCCTTTGTTCAGATTTAGCACCGCAATAGCTGCAAAACAATGACCACGGCCGGGCTGGATACACACAGCTCTTCCTGCCCCGCGGGCCCCAGTTCAAGTGCACGTCCTTCGCAACAAGCAAGCCCCGGTTGTACGAGCGCTTTTTATGAAGTGACGACAACAGCTTCCATTGCATTTGAGCTGTTTTAAAAAGAAACATACAGGCACCTTCTCATGTTTACTCCATGAGAACTGCCTTAAAAAAAAAAAAGTATGCAGGAACACCCACAGAGAGCTGCACACAGTCTACAGTAAAAATCATGGCGTGTATGTGACAGAAGCAGCAGTTTTCATTTTTTTAACTATTTTTTGGAAGGAAGAGCTTTTGTCTCATTTCTTCAGCACTTGCAGTGAGCTTTTCCAAACCTGCCAGAAGGCTTTCTAATACAG